TCAGCAGGCACCCAATCCCTGCCTCAGTCACCTCCTGCATAAGTTGGAAGGAAAACGCATGTATCCAGCTTTGAGGAGGTCACCACTGACAAACACTAAACCTTACTGGGCACAGAAATAAGACTGCAGCATATGTAATTCTGCTCACGATTTAAATGGCCTCCAGCAGGCACCGTCCCACTGGGGGTCACGAATTGGAAAAGCTGGAAAGCGTTTGTCCCCACGCGCACTCTTGCCCCCTTGAAAATAAAAGAGCCCCAAAGCAGGGTGAGAACTGTGTCCTCATGCACTGAGGCCACTGGAGCTTTGTGACCGTGCGCCAGGCCGTGGCCCCTGCTGGACCCCTGGCAGATGGAGAGAGGGTGGCACCGGCTGTTTCATGCAGAGTGGCTGCAATGCACCAGGTAGGTACACCAATGGTGCCATCCACCTGTCTCCTCTCCAGGCCAAGGCAAAGCTGGGCCCATGAGGACCTGCTCTGCTCCCTGCCAGCCCGGCAGGTGCAGCGGGCTGCAAGGTGTGGCCAGGTCTTAAATATGAAAGGATTGTATCGGAAGCTGAAAACGATCGCATTTGCTGACAAATATCGGCAGCTAAAAAAAAGTGCAATTTAATTAAAGAAGTCTATTGCAGCGAGCGAAGTTGGGGCAAAGTTGAAGCCTTTCTGCATTTCAAGGCGAGCGGGCACAGGAGGAAGGTGCTCCTGCAAACCCAGGAGCCAGTTAGCTTGCTACGGCCGAGGATGAGCAAACCTGGGGGGCATCTGACCCCCACGCCTCCCGGCTCGGGTCTGCACTAGGATGCCCACCAATGGACTTGGGAGCAGCTGAAGCCCCGGACTGCGCGGGGGCGGGGTATGTCTGCTCGTAGCAAGCGGGGTGCAGGCTGTAGCCGTGTTGGTCTCAGGACAAGGTTCTTTGGGTGAATCGGATCTCTTTTATTAGACCAACTTCAATAGTTGCAAAAAAAAATTTGGAAAGCTTGCTAATTTTTTTTTCCCCCCAACTACTTTAAGTTGGTCTAATAAAAGAGATGAGATTCACCCAAACAACCTTTGTCTGCTAGGAGCCAGGCCACTTCTAGCTTTTGGCTGGCTCATGGATGTGGCTGGACACGTGAAACACGTTAAAAATAGAGGGGGAATCTCCCTCCCGGCACCCGTAGCTCCCTCCCCCTCCCTCCGCCCCTGGGAGTTGTAGTCGCGCGGGTGGACTACAGCCCCCAGAATGCCCCGCGCGGCCGGGAGGCGGGGCGCGGGCACCCCCTGGGGGCGGGACCTGTTGCTGTGCAGTGAGTACGGGGCCGTGGCGGGCGCGGGGAAGGGGGGGGCGCGGGCTGCACGTGGCCCCGCGGGGGCAGCGGGAGGTGGTTCCCCGCCGGCTCCGGGCCCGCTTGCTTTGACCCCTTGGCATCCTGATTTGTGCCGAGTGATCCCCTGCCCCCCCTCCTGCCAGGGCCGAGCCGGCGATGGGCCGGGCCGGGCCGGGCCGGGCCGGACCAGGGGCTGCTGTCCCGTCCCGCGTCCGGGTTGTATACCTTTCACTTTCGCTGCCATCTCTCTTAGGGCTTCCTTTGTCCCAAGGAAGCAGCAGTGCACCGGCTGGTCGCTCCCCGTGGGGCTTTGAGTCTGTCCCGGGTTTCCCCCGGTTCCTCCCACTCGCCCCTTCCAGCCTCCAAGGTGCAGGAAGCTGGTTTGGAGGCTGTGCCCCTCGCTCGGTGCTCAACAGCAACCGGCGCCCCTTTCCTCCCAAAGTGGGACGCGGCCGCCAGTTCCCCTTTTCACGCCGCGCCGGGCACAAAAGAGGCTGACGTTTGCTGTCACTTCCCTCCCGGCATCGGAGCTGCCGCTGCCTGGGTCCGCTCCTGGGCGCGCAGTGCCCAGTCTCCCGCGTCCCGCAAGACGCGTTCCCCATCCAACAGGCCTGTCGCGCGCGCCTCGGCTTGCTCCGGGGGCGTCCTGCTCCATGTCCCCGTCTGGATCCCTCGTTTTGAGCCTCGCTCCCCTTCCTGGTTTCTTTTTTTATTCGTCCCAAGTGATCAGCTGTTATGTTCTCAGTGGCCTCCCTATTTAAGCGGGGGCTTGTAGTTTGTGCAGCAGATAGGCCTGTGTCATGCAGCAGAGAGCGGACAGCGAGCTGGGGCTGACCAGGGTTTCCCCCCCACCACCCCGTTCCTCTCTCACTTGCAGCCTCCATAAGGTCTAGGAAGTCCTGATTCAGGGCCCGTGCCCCTCGCTCCTGTGCTCGGTAACGACTGATGCCCCTTTTCTCCAAGAACGTGTCGAATCCTTTTTTGAATCTGGCTAAGCCAGGGGTCGGCAATGTTTTTGGGCAGAGTGCCAAAAACACCTGCAACCTCGACTTGTACGATGCTGGCATGCCAGGGGCGGTGGCAGTGCAGCCCAGCCCACCGTCCACTCTCAGGTGTATGTGCCATGCAAAATGCCTTTGTGTGCCACACTCTGGCACCGGTGCCAGGCGTTGCCTACCCCTGGGCTAAGCTGTCAGCTTCTGCCACATCTGTAATGTGTGTCCGGCTCTCATCTGAGCGCTCGCTAAGGACAATGGGAGTGATTTGCAAGGGGGATAATAGGAGCAATTTAAAGTCCTAGGCCAGCCAGCTTGTCCGTCCCAGCACCACACCGAGGTGCATTTAAGACTCCTGTGCGGTGCCAGGCTGGGACTGACACTCAGCGAGCTGGGCCTGTTGGAAACCGCAGGAAGCGTTACCATACGACCGCTCAGAACAGATTTAATACAGTGATGCTCGCTGAGCTCTTAATAAAGCCTGTGCCAAGTGTCCCATGCACAAGGCCGGTGCACTGAGGATAGAGCAGCCCAACACCAATTAGCATTTTGTGGTTTGTGCATATATGTGCTTTATGCCGGCATCACTGAGTTGCACTGTACACGCACCAACCAGTGCAGCTGCTTATGCGTGGTAGGGTGAGGTGGGTGTTGGCAGGTTAAAAGCAGGTCACCCCCGCCATCATCATCTGTTCAGGCACAGCTGATGGTGCCAGGCTCACTGGGGGGTGCAGTGGGAGCACAAATGACGGAGAAGGTCAGTGGGTGACAAGCCCCCTCCACAAACTTCACGTTTCCAGCATCCTGCCTTGCTGTGATACTCCTACAACCCTGCATGTGCTGACTTTTAGCAGTTATGCAGACAGTAGACCAGCACAATTGCAGCAACTGAACCCACGGCATGGGAGGAGGGTCTCGAATCAATCTCTGTGCAGCCAGTTTAACCAGGTAAAGCCATTTTTAGAGGCAAGAGAACCAGTAAACTGGCTGTCAGATTAACTCCAGTTGCTCCCCAGGACCAAGTGGTATAATTCTAGCACCCTGTTTTCCGCACTGCGGTTCTCGGCTGCCCTTGCTCACAAAGTCAACTTGCACCCACTATTTTTAAAATAGTTTTCAGCTGCATTACGTTTCCCATGGACGTCTGTGCTTGATCCCACTTGTTTTAAATGTGAAGTAACCACGGCAACCCTTTGTTCTGTATTAACACTTGTGTTTTTAATATGTTTTTGAAATAGAGTTGAGCGGATGAGAACAAAGACACGCTTTTGGCCTTAAGACAAGCCCGGATTTTAATTCAGTCTGAGTCGTGTCAGGGAGGGATGATAAAAGGCAACAGGCTGGGATTTGGGGTTGAGCTCCCCACTCTGCCCCAGACTCCCTAAGTGATGTTGAATAAGGCACTTAATTTCTCGGTGTCTCAGTCCCATGAATGCAGTCAAAGAAATGTCAGGCCAGAAGGGACCTCAGGAGGTCACATCCAGTCCATCCCTCAGCAAAAAGCGGGATCATCTGTGACTCAACTGTCCAGAGGTGTAACTAGTGAGTTTTGGGCTGTGGGCAAAATGCCCCTACGGTGGGCGTGGAGGTAGAGGCTGCTGATTGCAGGGAAGCCGGGGGTGGTGTAATCTGTAGCACAGCACGTGCATCCCACCGTTTGCAGGGCTTGCTGATGGCACGGTCTTGATTAGAACAGTTTTAGCCCAAATGATCATTTTTCCAGAACCCCATGTGACATCGTCCTCTCTCTGGGGACACTTGTGACCTGACAGGATGTTGTCATTTCCTTGATGTAGGGGCCTGCAGAGCAGCTGCCGCTGCAGACGAGTTGCCCGAACTAGCGTGTGACTACGTCTGCTTCACAAACACGTTCCAAGAACATAGGGCCGGGTTCATGAATGACTTGGGGCCTAAAAATCGGGCTAAAATCATAACAGGAAGAATTCAGTCAGTTCTAAACTTGGTGGAGCATTGCAATGAATTGGGGGAGGAATCTGCCCTCTACCGGCTGCTGTTAAAATTGCTGATATCCACTGACTGATCTGGAGCTTGGCTGGTGACCGTCACTTTGGACAGGAAATGTTCTCTCCAGCTAGGGACTTTTCTTCACTAGACAATTATGCTATGCTAACTAACAGTGCTACCTGCGACTTCACGATCGGCAGTAACAGGTACACGCTGAGTTTAGCATCACGTCAGCTGATTGGAGATAAACACTTAAAAGACCAGTCCTAGCTATGGGATGGGGGTCTAAATGGCAAGTGCCTTGTTATAAAATTTGCATGTTGAAATGGGATCACAGGGTCAGCCTACAAGCAGTCACGTGTTCCTCAGCACTGGGCCTCCGGTTGAATATTTTAAAAGGAAGTAACTGCTCAAGGAAATAAATATAAGGATGGTGTTTAGATAGGGTGGCGAGGGAGGGTGGAAGAGTCGCAAAGTGATCTATGACAAATGCACAGAGACAAAGCGTTTCCCAAATGGCAACTAAAATGCAGCTGCCTTGGGACAGGAACGCAAAATGCTGCTTGCTTAACCCTGCACCAAGCCAAGTTCTCACGGAAAAGTTTGCAGACAAGAAATCATCCCTGCTCGTAGCAGCGCCTTAGATGATTATCAAACTAATGGCTCCTCGTAAAACAGGAATAGCGCCTTTTGGGTTCAACTTTTATTGAAAAATAAATCCAAAATTAGGAAGCCCTGAGCTATTAAAAGATTAGCCAGGCAGTGTCCCAGCAACAGGATCGATGATGTAAGCGCTGCGCAGTTACACAGTGCAGAGGTGCATGGGCGTTTGCTGGCTTAGTGACTTAAAACCCTGGTGTTGTTCAGTACACAAGTACACGGTCCCCTGGTGCCAGACGTTCCTGTAAGTCAGAAAGATCGGAGCAGGAGCCTGGGGTTGTGCTGCGGACCTCTTTGCCCTGTTGTATAGATCTTTGATGGATGCTTGGGCTCTTGATATTAATAGCTTAATAATACTATAAATAATATTATGTAAGGGGATAAATAATGTTCCCTGAGTTATTACTGTGTGCGCAGTGTTGAGCAAGTGAACACTGACTAATCCTGACTCTGGTTTCCTGCACGGTGAAATTGTGCATTAACACAAGGGTTTGCACTCAGCTAATATGTCAGCTCAGTCGTCCATAATGTGCCAGTTGCCATAGCACAGCCACAGGTCTCGCGTCTTTTTTAATGGGCATACATTTTAATCTTCCCTTCCCATTGGAGCAGAAGTAAAGAAGGTGAGAGAGGGCAGCTGCCCAGGCCAAGCCATAGGGCTTGGCTGCAAAGATGAGCCTTGTAGCAAGCTTCAGGGGCTAATAAACCGGAGCTCCGGTTCCAGGATCAGATTCCCCAGAGCCAGCCGCCGCATCCCATCCTCCTGCAGGAACACTTGCAACTGCAACAGGGCTTAGAGGATCTGTGAAGCTCCAGGCAGCACCCGGCTATGTAGAGTGGCACTGACTCCGACGGGCACCTGAAAGCCAGTGCAGCACAGGTGTAAGGACCACTAAGGCAAGCTGCTGCTCCCTGAGCTTCAAGGGAAGCTCCACAGGGCAGCGGTGGCACCGGGGGTCTCCCTCAGGAGGAAGTGTGCTGCCAGGGGTGCCTGTCTGGCACAGTAATCACTGCATGGACAAATATCCCCTCCCTCCTGCCTGTAATACCATATCCCCTATCCAGGACCTTCCTTGTTGCCTCTTGTTCATCTGTTGGCAGCTTTCCAGTGCCATAAACATGCCCCATTGCCTGACCCTCTCAGAGTGCATTGAGCAAGGCACATTGCTCCTTGCACTAGGGTGGAGGGAAAAAGGGGCTGGGACTGCACTTTCCAGGCCACCAAGCAGAAGGCCCTGCTAGCAGGTGGGTTCCCAAGGGCACTGAGATGTCTAAAAAGGCCACGTGGGATTCACAAGCACCGAGTAAGTTGGGCATCAGAGTGCCAGCAAAGTCCTTCCCTGTGTCACAAACCACCTCTGAGCAAGGCTTTCGTTATCGCAGCTGTTTACTCCTCGGGTAAAGCCAGGCCTGCCGGGTTCAGCTGGAGCTGGGCAGGGTCACTGACCTGCTCTGCTCCCAGGGGCCACTGAGGTGAGGGAGGTTCGTGTTGCATGCAGGATCGCTGGAAGGCAACGGCTCGGAGGTGTTTCCGGGGGTGTAGCCTGCCCGCTCTGACCTGTGCCTGCCCCTTTAATGCCTCATCCTTCTCAGCTGCAAATCCTGGCTCTGCACCTCGTCCTCTGCGTGCCATCCATATGCTGAGGGATGCGTGCCTTGCCCTTGTTCCAGCACTGGCACACGCTCCCTGGGCCGGCCCCACCTCCTCCTGAACCTCCAGCCAGCGCCTAGGCTCAGTTACACAGCAGCCAGGATCCTCTTTCCCCTCCCAGAGGCTGAAGTCTCCTTGCGCAGATGAGCTCTGGACGGGCGACCTGTGAATGCACAAGGCAGGGGTGGGGCCCTGCTTCAAGCCTGCTCCATCCCATTTTCTCTGCCTTCCCCAGCAGAGCAGGAGCGACCTGTGGCTTCTTGAACTGCAGAGATATTGGTTTGCCCGCATGCCAGCCGCAATGGAGAAGGAGCCTCTGCTGCAGCTGCGAGTCTTCGACCTCAATTGCTGGTGAGTCCAGAGCTGCTTTGTGGGATAAGCAGGGTCCAGAGCGGCCGGGTGGGGGTGGATCTACCACCTTGTTCCTCTAGGAGGGCCTGCACCTACCTGAGTGCTGGGGTCATGAGTGTGGGACGCTGCTCCCTCACTGCACAGCCCAGATCATATTGTCTACTGGCTCGAGAGCCAGGACTCCTGGGTCCTGTTCCAGGAGCTGCATGAGTCACTTCATCTGCCTGTGCCCCAGTTCATCTGACATAGCGTAAGAAACTCCCTTGCTCCTTGCAGTGTGGAAGGTGCTGGATTAGCACCAAGCACTGCTGGCCTGGCCTCCTGGCTTTGCAGCCCTTCTGTTGCCTGTCTCTGGACTCTGCCAAGGGGCTGGGAACCCAGTGCCCAGATGCAGGCTCCCTTGGCTGACTGTGCATAACACACTGCAGACCAGACACCCTGTTTGTTAGGGGCAGCAAGGCAGGACCTCATAACGCAAGGCTCCTTGTTTAGCTGCAGCCCAGGGAAAGCTTGGCCTGTGAAGGGCAAGTTTGCCCTGCCATCAAGGTTTATTTGCCCTGTAAAGCTGTCCTCCTGCTCCCAGCACCTCCCCTCCTGACTGGAATAAGCTGCTTTCCTGATGTGGGCCCAGATTGATATACCCTTACCCTCCAGCACGCTGGGAGCCTCATGTTCCCCCTTGGCTCTGTACTGGGCTCCAGGCCTGTCTCCACCAGTGTTGCAGAGGGCTTTCTGCTGCAGGGCTCCATGGATTATGAGGCTTCAGGCATGAACCAGGCCCAGGAAACCCTATGGAGCCCACATCACACCTCTCCCATCCCCACACCCTTCCCTCTGCTGGGTTGTTCCTAGTCGTGGCTTCAGTTCAGTTCCTCACTAGGATATCAGCCACCTACCTCATCTTGCTGTGATACGAGCTGGGGGAGCACAAGGCCATCTCTGGCCCTGGCTCTGAGGTGAGCATGCAAAGGGCTGAAGGAAATTTCCTGTCTTGCCCCCCAGCCCCATCCCAAAGGAAGGAGAAGCTGTCTCTTGACTGGGACCCCAGTGCGCTGTGTATGCTTGCAAGGCAGTTTGTGCCAGTCATGGAGCAGCAGTAGAGGAGAAGGAGGCACTTCTCTACTGCTGCCCAAAACACTCAGGCCTGAGTCACTCTGGGCACTGTTGCCTGCTTGGCGTCACTGCCTCTGTCTGATGGGTCTCCTCCTCCCAGGGCAATCCGCTACCTGAGCAAGCTGCGACAGGAGCGCGTCCAGATGATTGCGGACACCCTGAGCCAAGAGGGCTACGACCTGGTGCTCCTCCAGGAGGTGAGGCCCAAGGGATGGTGGGCCAGGGGAAGTGGCAGGGACCAAGACCAGGTGGGACTTGAGCCGGGCACGATGGAGGGAGGGAAGAGGCTTCAAGCCAAAGCACTGAGGATCTGTTCCCTTAGCTGCTGGCCCATGATGTGAGTTTGCTTCATTCTCAGCCTCTCTTTGCTCCTTCAGGTGTGGAGCGAGACGGACTACTGCACGCTGAAACAGAGGCTGTCTGCGTGCTACCCTTCCTCCCACTACTTCCGCAGGTAAGAGGAGGTCGTTAGCCTGCTGCTGCTTATCAGCCTAGGAGGAGGTCCCTGGCAACAATGAGCACTCTCTCTAAATCTGGGTTTTATCAGGTCTCCCTGGGCATTTGGTATCTGTGGACTTTGAAATGTACTGGGGTTGTCTGGTGTCAGGCAGACCTTGGACAGCAGCATCCCTGCTCAGGAGGAGATGCCTCTGCTTCTGATAATTAAAGAGCTTGCTACCTTACAAACACCACCGAGCCCTTCCAGCTGGCCCCAGCGCCCCGTGTGTGCCCAGGGGCTGTGGCAGGTACACGGCCTTTGCTCTTGTAAGAACAGGACATCAGAATGTGAACGCAACGTGTCCCTCTGGCTCCATCCGTGACGGTGGCAGGTACCAGATGTATTCGAAGAAGAAGATTGAAACAGAGCCTGTGTAGAGGGATCCACCCCCCATCACTAGCAAATGGCATCTTCCCTGCATGTTGTGTTCAATAGCCTCTGCCAGTCCCACCCCCCTTCGATAGGTCTCATCTCAGGTTCTACCAATGGCTTTCACAACATCCTGGGGTGGAGGCCACTGGATGCTAATTATGAACTGTGGTAATTATGACCTGTGTAGTCTGCACCTTAGGCTTGAACTGAAAACACTTTGCCCCTGCTAAGGTGAAGGCAGTGCACTGGTAGACTGTGGCAAAGCTTTCATCATCTCTGTCCCCAGGGATCCTCTCAGACCCCAGGTGTGAAGAACGCTGTCCCCTGCCCCTGGCTTTGCAAGCACTCCTGGATGTGATCTCAGGTTCTTGGCTTTCCTAGGGGAAAGAGACCTGAGCCCACGGGGCACCTGTGCCTTGGCCACTGCTGGCAGACCAAGGGGAAGCAGCAGCTTGTTCAGTGAGCCAGCAGTCATTGGAAGCAGCACCAAAGAGCTCAAAGGGAGCCAGACAGGTTGCTAGGTCATCCTTTCCAGCTCCATCCTGGCGCTCACCCTATTGTGTATAGAGGGTCCAGGCTTGCTGCATGTGGATAAAGGAGGTGATAAAAGCTTAGCTGAAGTCTCCTCAACAGCTGCTTTGAACCCTCCCAGTTACCTGCTTCTTGGGCGTGATGCCTCTGCCCTGGAACACATACTGCCCATGCCCACGCTGTGCTGAGAAACTGTCATCAGCCCTGTGTCCATGTCATCTTCCTGTTCCCAGGGGAGCAGGCAGCCAGGTGGAAATGAGATCGTGCTGCTATCTTGAGTGACTCTTGCATCTGGCACATCGGGGTGGCCACGGTGAGGAGACACCTGGCATCTTCCAGCCCCATAGCGAGTCATTTGCCTCTCAGAACCCCCCTGGGTTGAGTCTTTATCCCCCTTTGGAAGCTGTAGGAGCTGAGTAACTTGTCCAAATTCACAGAGCACATCAGAAACAGCTCAGGCCTCCTAGCTCCCAGGCCCTGTGTAACCCTTAGCTCCTGGCTCCCAGCCTGCTGCTGTGACCACTGGGTCCCTCGCTGTCCAAAGCCCCAGTTGACCCCACAGGAATGAAGGGCAGGTAGGAGCTGATAGATGAGGAGGGGCTGCTCCTGGCTGTGTTCAGTGATGGCGGGGTCTGTTTTGCAGTGGAGTGATTGGCAGTGGGCTCTGTGTGTTCTCCAAGTACACGATCCTGGACACCTTCCTGTACCAGTACTCCCTCAATGGTTATCCCTACATGGTGAGTGTGTGCCCAGCCACAGCTGGGGCTGCTGCCAGAGTAGTTCTTTGCAACCCATCACTGTGCCTAACCAGCCTTTTGTCTCCCATCCCCTGCTCTGGCAGCTCCAGCACGGGGACTGGTTTTGCGGCAAATCTGTGGGGCTCCTTGTCCTCAAGATCCAGGAGATTGTCTTCAACATCTATGTGACCCATGTGAGTCTGGGTGCTGGGGAGGGCAGGCTCTGACAGACTGGGAGTGCTTGGAAAAACACTGGGCCAGGCAAGGGATGTTGCATGGGCTGTTGGATGGAAAAAGGGTCTTTCTCTGTGAGGGAACTAGCCTGGACTAGCAGCAGCTGGGTGTCTTCACTTGGTGGCATCTCACTGATCCCATCATGAGGGACACTCATCAGGCTTCCCATGTCCAAGCTGCATGCCAGGAGGGGGCATGTAAGATCCCCTGCCTTGCTTTCTTGTGCTCTCTGGGGTGATAGCTTTATATTGAGCAGGGACTCTGATTTCTAACTGTGATGGCATTGGCATGTGCTATGCTTGTATCTTGTTTTTTTGCCTGCCTGTGCCTGGCTTTAGCCATATCCTTGAGAGAAGCACAGAACATATCCCATAGCTTAGTGAGAGGAAGTAAGATGTCTACAAAGGTGGAGAGTTCAAATCCCAAGGGCAGCAGTGAATTCCCCACAAAGCTCTTGCCAGTTTGGAGGGTGAATGGAGAATGCCAAGGGGAGCGAACAAGGAGCTGGAGGGTTTGATGTGAGAGGAGCAGCGGAGAAATGGAAGGGCTGGATCCTTAGCATAGCTCCATGGGATAAAGGTGCTGGGCTCCTTGACGTGGCGACTAAGGGTAGGTAGAAGGCTGCAGGCATTGAAGGGGGAGAGGAACTGATGGTGGAGAGGGGGGAACCCGATGAAATTGAGCCAGTGGATGTCAGGGAACCTTTTCCACTGGTGAAATGGTTCTACAGGCTGAGCTGTCTCCCAAGGGAGACCCTGCCCCTGCCTCAGGACACCCAAGCTGGGCGGTGCTGGGGCCTGGCACACACATTGGTCTGGTGCCCAATCTCTGTGTCCCAGCCTGGAATCACAATGCATGTCCTCCCTTTCCCCAGCTCCATGCAGAATACTGCCGGGAGAAGGATGCGTACCTCCCCCATCGAGTGGTGCAGGCCTGGGAGCTGGGGCAGTTCATACAGTGAGTAACACTGCAGAGCCAGGGGCTCCTTGCAGCGGGGAGGTTGCGTCGCACTCTCCAGTGCTGGCAGGGGACTGCGTCACTCTCCCCAGCTGTGTGATTCTGCCCATCCCTCAGGCACACCTCAAAGGCAGCTGATGTGGTGCTGCTGGGTGGGGATTTGAACATGCACCCCGAGGATGTGGGGATCCGGCTGCTGCGAGGCTGGACGGGCCTACGGGACTCCTTCACTGACGCCGAGCGGTTCGAGGCAAGTGCTTTCCCTGAGGGCCTGGGCTGGGGGGCACTGGGACAGATGGGGCTGCTATGGGGTGTGGGGGGGACAGTAAATGCCACCTTGAGTCCGCGCATCCAGGTTGCCCCCCAGATTGTCCCTGCTAGCTGCTGTGTACCCCCCACACTTTATCTCACAACACATCAGCCCTCTCTGCTGGCCCACAACAGCTGGCTCCCCTCCCAGCCTGCGTCCTGCTCCTCCAGCCTCCCAGTGCTCCAGCATCCTGCTTGCAACAGCTCCCAGTTGCCATCAGCCAACAGCCTCCCAGTGCTCCAGCTGCTCCCCTGCCCCTGCCTATGGTGTGGGGACTGGGCTGAGCCTAGGTGGCACTGACTCTGCCTTCCTCCATAGGGCTGTGAGGACGGCTGTACCCTGGTGCCAGACAACTACTTTACAAACAAGAAGGAGCTGCAGCCCTTCCCACTGGGGATCCGCATCGACTACATCCTTTACAAGGTGTGAGGGCCTGGGGACTTGGTTGCCTGCTAGACCCAGAAGCCTGTGGCCTGGCCTGGATCAGGCAGCCACTCCATGAGTGGCAAGGCAGAGGCAAAGGCCTCTGGAGCCCCGTTCACCCACCCACCCACCCGCCAGCTAGCTGGGGCTCATTCCCGCTGCTCCCCAGAGCACCATCCTCCCTGGGTGGCAAGTGCCCAAAGGATTTCATCCTTCCCAGGAGCAGCAGTGTTTCAGGAGCAGGCCTATACCCAGCTGGCTGTCAGCAGCCTCTGGCTCACCAGGGTCCATCAAGGCAGGACACTACTGTTGTTTGTGCTGTTGACAGCCCTGGCACTTCTGTAGCATTGAGGGAGGTCAGACACTACAGATGGGTGGGCACTGAGGCGTGGGCAAGGGAAGTGTCTCACCCAAGGAGACCAGGGGGGGTCAGTGGCAGCGCTGGGAACCAATCGCCAGCCTTGATACAGGCGCCCACAACCTCCTGTCCTGCACCCCACACCCAGCTGGGTTGAGGGCCTGTTGCTTTTGATGCTGTTTGTACACCCGTGTGTCTTCTCCGCTCTGAGATCTGAGCCCCTGAGCAGACGGGTTGAGCACAGGGACCAGGACCTGCCGTTTATGATCAAGGCTCCTGCCCTAGGCAGTGTCACAGGTCCTTGCTGAAGCAGGGGATGAGACCACCTGCCTCAGCCCCTCTGCGAGGTGAGGGAGCAGCACCAGTTCATCAGCAAAAGCTCCTCCTTGGGAGTTGTGTGTGGCACTGCGGGTCCCATTGCTTCTCCGTCAGGGGACCAGCCTGGCAGCCCTTGTTATACTGATTCCTGTTGCCCTGTGTCACCCCTTCTCCTAGGGTCAGTCCAACTTTGCGGTGAAGTGTGACAGGCTGGTGACCACCACAGGAAAGGCTCCTGGCAAGAGCATCCCCTACTCGGACCACGAAGCCGTCATCGCTACACTCTACGTGAAGAGGCACGGGGAAGCCAAGGCCCTGAACAGTAACACAGTGGGTGAGTGCAGAGACAGCCCTGCCTTTAGCCACAGGCAGGGGACAACAGGGTACCCTAGGAGGGCACTTCACCTCTGCAGCGTGACTGCCTCCCCTTCCCCGTCCCCCCAACCAGGGAATCCCTGCCTCAGCCACTTGCCAGGTCTCAAAAGGAAGAGCTTGTCATGTCCCCCCACAGCCAGTCTCCTCTCAGGGGCTCCTCTGAGCCAATGGAGAGTGCAAGCTGGCAGCTTTGTCCAAGGAAGGGCTCTGTGGAGCAGTATGGCTTGCCCAGCCCAGCGAAGGGAAGGCTAAGCAGAGGGTGTGGTAGTGCTCTGCAACCAGTTCAGGGGAGGGTAAATCTCAGAGAGAGAGAAGAGCTGCAGGACAAGGTTGGCACAAGGTCAGACAGGTATCAGGTAGCCAGGAGGAATTTAGGCTGGGAATGAGAAGGCTCCTAAGCATCAGAGCTGGAACATCAAGGCCTGGGTGAGGCAAGAGCCCAGTTTGTGGCCAAGGTGGAGCCGAGGCAGCTGTCTGGGACAGCAGGGGCTGGGCTCAGCCTGTCTCTTCCTCCCTGCGGCTAACCCCATCTCCTCTCACAGAGCCAGCACTGGTGGACATCATGAACGAAGCCCGGACCGAGGTGCGGGTGGGGCTGCATGCCGCCCAGCGCCAGCGCTACTCCAGCGGCCGCATGGCTATCCTGGCCCTGCTCCTGCTCCTGCTGCAGGCCGTGATGGGCCTGAGCTCCCTGGTGGGCTGGGCCTCACCCCAGCCCTTCCCCAAGTTCTCCTTCTCCGTCCTGGGCTCGCTGGCTGTACTGGTGCTGCTGGTCTCGGGAGTGCTGCACATCTTCCATGCCATCGAAGTCAAGGTGCTCCAGGGCACTGAGGACCAGATGAGGCTGGCTCTCCAGTCGCTGCAGGACCGGCTCAGCGCCAAGTGAGAGGCCAGGCGTGGGGGGCATGGGTAGGGACCAAAAGCCTGCAGGAGCCTGGGCACTCTGCATGCTGCACTGCACTGCCAGCCCCAGGTGCCCCCCGCACCACACCACCCCCAGACTCTTTTATAGTTCAATTTATTTTTAAATAAGTGGCATTACAAAGCATTTGGTAATGGACAGGAGTGCGGCGGGTTTTATAACGACCTTTTGCAGGCCAATAAACCTTTTTGACCAGGGTCATTTTATTCCCTGACCTTCCACGCCCCTCTCCAAGTTTGTTCTCCTGGCAGGCAGCCAGGGTGTGCTAGCTATGGGCGTCTCATAAAGGCAATATCCTAAGAAAGACACGCTTGGTTTTTTCCCTGCCAGATGATGCTCTTTGCAATGAAGCAAGGATTGTCTGGCTGTCCCTGGGGGCTGCTCTGGCATTGATAATACAGCTGCCGCCCGGAAGTCCCTGTGCGACTGACTCCAGCTCTGACCTCACACCAAGATGGATTTTTTTTTTCTGCTTGCTGAGCCGGAGAGGCAGGTGGGGCAGCAGTGTGAGACCTCAGTAGCAGCACGTAGCCAAGCCTGTCCTTACAGCTGCTCTTAGAGAGCCGCAGTTTGGTGTCAGACTCTCCTGAGCTAGTGATTTGTGACCTGGAAAGAGCATCTGCACCAGGGTGTCCTTTTGGCACATGATTTCCTGACTTACAACTCTGCTCTAACTGTTCTCCCACCTGCCCAGGGAGGATGGGCACACAGTAGACACTGGCTGCAGCACAAGGCTTAAGGCAGAGGCTTCCAGAGGTGAAGGAGCAGGGCTGCCTAGGGATGCAGCAGTTACTTAGCCCCATCCCATGTTCTTAACCCTTCTTATGTGTGCTGCATGGATCCTCATGCAAGTTATCCTGAGACTTCTTCCCACCAGAGCTTCACGGCCCCTGAAAACAGCTGGAGAAGAGCCAGTAAGTGAGACCCTGCCCCAGTGCTTGCAGGAGGGCAGAGACTGCACTGGCTGCCCCCACTGCCGCCCTGTAGGTGCCAGAGGCTGCTGCCTCCTGCTTTCAGGTCTCACAGGACAGGCTGCCTGTCTGCATGCACCATGCATCCTGGAGGACACAACCTCAGTGTTGTGGCAAGGCTGCACGCCCTGAAAGGCCTTGAGTGGCTCCCTGAGAATGGGGCTCTGGGACATGGGGAACCTGCCCCTGAATAACGTAGTTGTGCAGCAAAAGCACTAACCCCCTGAGGGGGTGAGGTGGGGGGTCACTGGGCGGCGAGGGGCATTGCTAAGCCAGGCTGATGAACCCAAGCAGTGGTCCAGGCTGAGGGAGGTGTAGCCCAGACTCCCTGCTACTGCTTGTTTGGGGCCAGTGCACACGCCCTAGCATAGGGCCTCCTGCCTAGTGCATATGTGGGATGTGGCGCTGCCACCTTCATGTCCCCTGCTCGCTGAAGCACAGCTCAAGCATTAAAAACAAGCAGAAGCCCAGCCACGTGAGGGGCCCTGCTCTCAACAGGTGTGCCAGCTGCAGGCCCTGGGGCTGTCCTCAAATGCTCCCAGAGGAGGCGCATGGGGCACCCCTGCGCTAGGCAGGAAGTCACCACCCCCTATGTTGGGTTTGGCAATGGGCTCAGCAGCCCACGGGTGCAGCCTGGGCCATGCTGCTCCATCCCTGCTGCCCCCCCCTCCCCCCCCGAGTGCTCATGGGGCCCCTGGGCTGTGGTCACATCAAGCTGCCTCCCTCCACGCTGAAGGCCTCAGCAGTGGCATGCGATGGGCTATGCCCTCAAGCCTCAGGCCTGCGCTCCATGCCCAGGTCCGCACTGCCCAGCTCGCTGAGGCGCTTCTCCTCCTGCACCTGGATCAGCTTGTCACGCTTCTTCACCACCTCCAGGAACTGCTCCAGGATCTCCTTCTCGGCTTGCAGGTCCTGGGGTGTCTTCAGCTCCTCTGCAAGTGGAGGGGAGAGGACAGGTCACCAGCTGCCACAGCAGGGCAGGGCCGGTGTGCTCTGAGCTCTATCCCAAGGTGCTGGACAGAGGAACAGTTTTGGGTACCCAAGTGCAGCAGGGGAAGCCTGACCTCCTTGGAGAGACTCGTACACCCCAGTAAGCCCAAATGCCTGCCTGGCCTGCAGCAGTGCTGGGAAAAAGCGGGATCCGTGCACATATTCAGCCCTTCCCTAACTCAACCACTTGGCTGCTATGGGGAGAGGAACAGCATGTATGCCAGCTGCTCATCACAGCCCCCAGCATGAAGCTGGTGTTGGGAGCAGAGGAGAGATGCAGCATTTCCCTCCCAGAGGAAGTGGGGTGAGGCAGGGGCGGAAGAGCTCAGAGCCAGGACACCTGGGTTCTTTGCCTGCTTTTGTCAGTGCCCGTCTTCTCCAGTGTTGGGAGGGGACTGCAGCACAGGGATCAAGTTGGTTAACTTGTGACGCCTCGACGCACAAGAGTGGTGGCTTTCCACGTGCTCAGCCCCAGCCCTGCAATGGGACAGCTGGAGGGGCTCAGCTGCAGTCGCCAGAGCTGTCAGGGGTGCAACATAACTTCAATGGCTCTGCCACATCTCCTGCCATGGCAGGACCTCCATGCTCCCCTGGTAGCAAGGGCATGGCCCTGTGCTCTCCTTACCATCCATGTCCATGTATCGCCGCATCTCCTGGTCCAGGTGGCACTGCTTTTCCTCCAGCTTCAGCTCCTGCACCCTGCAACGGGAACAAGAGTCATGTAGCAGGGGGTAAGGGGAGCAGGGCTGTCCCTGTGCCAGTGGAATGGTTCTCACGTTCACAGAAGCAATTTTAAGAGTTTTCATTGTGCAGTTAAATGGGGGGGGGGGGGGGGGGGGGAAGAAGAGGGTGAGGGCACTGGTGGAAAGGCCACGGCACCACAGGCACTCGCCAGCTCTCCTAAGGCCCTGCCATGTGCTTCTGGGACACTGAGGGTCAGCAACTCATGACAGACCCACTGCAGAGACTGGCTGGGCACTGAGTTTCTGCTGGCACTGAGTGCCCACTGCCTGGGCATGGGCTGAGTGGTGCCAACATGGCACAGCTGACTGCTCTCCTTGTGCGGGGGAAGGAGGAACAGTGTCTGTGGCTAAAAAGGCAGAGGGCTTGAAGAGCCGTGGCTCAGGCAGGGCAGGGTGCAGGGCACAGGGCATTGGTCCCCCATGCCTGCTCATGGCATGGCCTCTTACGCAATCATGAGGTCCGACTCCTCGGAAACCAGGTTGTTCTTCTTCTGGACCAAATGGAGGAGCTGGTTAATCCACTGGGTCTTCAGCTCTGCCTGGGTTCCTAGGGGAAGGGAGAGGAGGTGGATGTGTAGGCAGGAGGCAGGCTATTGCCCGGCCCCCACCCCACAGCCCATTCAACAGGCATGATGCCCAGTCGCAGGTGGCCTCCTTACCTCCTTCACCCCGCAGGGACTGCTCCAGCTTGATGCCCTGCTGCTCCAGCTCACGGAACGTCACCTCGATCTCCTCCAGCCGCCTCTGGATGGCCTGGGCAAGACAGACAAAAGTTTACACTGGCACCTTGTCTGTCTTTCCTGCCCCTGAGGACTTCCTGGGGGAAGATGCTGTCCTTGCCAGCAATTAGCAAAGGTGTTACTGGCCAGGGACCAGTTGAAAACTGGGACCACTGAAGTGACTTGCCTGAGATCACAGCCGATCAGACACAAGACATGGGACTGAGGTTAAGGCTCCCTGCTCAGCTCTAAGTAAACACCCTAGTAAATACAGCTACAGCAGGGGCAGGCAAAATATGGCCTGCAAGCTGGATCTGGCCCACCAGGCCATTCTATCTGGCCTACAGGGCCCCTAAACATTTTAGAAAATTAATATTTACCTCTTCCTGGCTGCCTGTCAAAGATGAAAGGAGCCAGGGGCAGTAGGACCCAGGTGAAACCAGGAGAACTCACCAGCAAGGCAGCAAGGCCCCGCTCCTGTATGGGCAGGAGACAATTGCTTGCCATCCTGCCTAATGCTCTCATTCTGCTTGAGGACAGCTGGCAAGTCCAGCTGCTCCCACCTGCCAGGGCTCTGGGGGCGCTGCTTGACCCTGGGCACAGGCAGGGCTCCCTGGAGGACTAGGAGGATCTCACTGCCCTGTACAAGGCTGCCCCTGCCCACCCAGGTCAGGGACATCCTGGAGCCCTGGGCGCAGCAGGACCTTGCTCTGGGCACTGCACCGCTGCTGCATGGGACTGAGCTTCTGCTTTCCCTTGGGCTGGGCAGGTCCCGTGGGCAGCACCATGGCCTCAGTGCAGCAAGGGCAGGCCCAAGTGCCGGAGGCTCGCCCTGATCCCCTGCCCAGCTCTGTCAGCACTTGGTACTGCACTGGGACAGGGAGCCAGAGCTGCGTCAGGCTCAGGCCACAACAGCCGAGCTGGACCTATGGCCACAAGAAGGTGTGAACTTTGACTAGGGATCAGGTAAGGCCATTTCACAGCCCTGAGCCTTCAACCAGGGCTGCACAGGGCTTCCCAGAGCCACAACCAGGGCTGCAGCACATGGCAAAGAGAGGCACTGAGTGCTGGAGCACAGGGCAGAAGCAACCCCCGGAGCCCAGGGCTTGAACCCAGGGCTGCAGCACATGGCAAAGAGAGGCACTGAGTGCTGGAGCACAGGGCAGAAGCAACCCCCGGAGCCCAGGGCTTGAACCCAGGCCTCCAATTAGTGCTAATGAAGCCTTGATTGAAAGGCAGAACACTTGACTGAAGCTGCAGCAGGGCTGTAATTAGTGCAGGGGGAAGAGCCACCCTCACTGAGGGTGGTGAGGTTGTCCCAGCCCCAAGTGAGGTCCTGCTGCCCCCAGAGCTGCACTTAGGGAGCCAGGTGGGCAGGGCACCTTGTGCAGGGCAGGGAGCTTCCCCCAGCCCCAAGGAGCCCTGCCTGTGCCCAGGGTCAAGCACCCTCCAGAGTCCGGCAGCTCTGCAGGCCAGCAGCGGTCCTGGGGGACCTTCCCCCCACCAAGAGGGAGGTCCTAGCTCCCTACAGGAGTCCCAGGCTCTCAGGAGCAGGCCCAGGGTGGGGCCAAGGCTCCCTTAGGGACAGAGGGGCCATGCCCAGCGAGAGCAGGCTTCTGACTTGGAAGGGCTGGAGGAGGGGGTGCTGCAGGCAGGTCTGCCTCCAGCCTGCACCCAGGGGTAGTCCTCATCCAGCACAGGGCAGGGGTGGGGAGCACTGGTCCCCTGGGCTCAGAGGTCCCCTTCACAGTCGGAGCAAGGCTCTGCCTCCCAGCGCAGTCCCACACTGGGGGCCGCTGGTTTGCCCCTTGCACAGCTCCTGTGCGCCTTTGCATGACAGAAGCTCACTGGGGCAGTGAGCAGCATCTTAGGAACAGCATTGGGCCCCCTGTACGAGACCTGCAGGCCCTGGGGTGCTGGTCCAGGTTCTGCCTGGCGGGCACCTGGCCCGTGGCCCTTTGCCTTTTGGGGCCCTGGAGGCAGCTCTGCAGCTCAACCATTGTCTGAACCAGACCCTGGTGAGGGTATTTGGGCAGGTGGCCTTCCCTGGGTCCCCACATATCCGTGCTCTGCAGGACATGGCTGTTCAGCTCCCTGAGAGTAGCCCCAGGCCGTGGCTGCTCCCCAAGCCCCAGGTCTCCCTGAGAGCTGGGGGGCCGGGGCACGGTGCTGCGAAGCACGGGCTGGGGGTCTGGATTCCCTTATGGTTGGAGGTCTCCGAGCCCCGCTTCTCTGCACCCCCTTGGCTGGGCTCACACAGGAGCTGGGACCCCGCAGTGGTCCCTGCTGAGCAGCCGGAGAAGACGGGTCTCTGCAGCCCAGGGGGACGTGCCGTGCGGCTTCACTTTTCCCAGGCAGCACCATGGCCGCAAACAAAGGCAGACCTCCTGGCCTCCAGCCCTATGTCTCCAGACTCGAGCATGGGCGGCTGGAACAAGTCCTCTCCGGCACTGCAAATATGATGGCCCTTGGCTTGCAGCAGCTGGGCAAAACGAGAGTGAAAGCCAGGGATAGAGGATGCTGCCCCTGTGCAGAGTCAAACCTATAGGCTGTGCTTAAAAGCACAAGGCTTTGACCACCAGGCCATGGTCTTCCCAGGGCTCCTCTTGTAGTGGAGCCGGTGCGTGTCTGCAAGGAAAGAGTCAAGGGACCCAGAAGTGAGGAGCTAAGCTAGCCAGGCCCTGTGGTGCACAGTGCAGGGCCTCTTGCTGAGGCCCTGGGTTCAGCTCCCATTGTCTCCTGATTTTGTAGGGAGGCACCTTCCTCTTTCAATGGAGGGGGCCTGGCCGCTGCGCCTCAAGGGGCCCATGGCAGGAGGTGTTCTCAGCTTTCCCCAGTAGTCTGGTGCTAAGGCTGCTACCCTAAGTGGCAAAGGTTGTGGGTTCAAGCCCTGCCCTGGTTGAAGCTCTCTGCTCCTTTGTGGTGAGGCCCTGAGAGAGATGAAGTGTGATCCCCTGAGAGTAAGGGGCCTTTGCACTTCAGACTTTTTGCACTTTGAACATGGGGGATTTGGGGAGGGCAGGGAGCTGGGGTCCCCCAGGTTGCAGGGGGTGCAGCCACATAGCACCCACGCCCCACCACGGCCCGTCGACCAGCCAGGAAGCAAGGGGGGCCCCAGGAGCATTGCATCAACTTTGCCTCATCTCGGGGGACTCGGCCCATAGTACCCCACATTAACCACTCCGTAACTCCTGCCTTGCCCAAAAAATCAGTTGGTGACCTTTCACCTAATTACTGGGGGGATTTGACCTCCCGTGACCCCAAGATGAACTCTCTGTGACCTCTGGCTTCCCTAAAAAATAAGTTGGTGACCTTTCACCTAATTACTGGGGGGATTTGACCTCCCGTGACCCCAAGATGAACTCTCTGTGACCTCTGGCTTCCCTAAAAAATAAGTTGGTGACCTTTCACCTAATTACTGGGGGGATTTGACCTCCCGTGACCCCAAGATGAACTCTCTGTGACCTCTGGCTTCCCTAAAAAATAAGTTGGTGACCTTTCACCTAATTACTGGGGGGATTTGACCTCCCGTGACCCCAAGATGAACTCTCTGTGACCTCTGGCTTCCCTAAAAAATAAGTTGGTGACCTTTCACCTAATTACTGGGGGGATTTGACCTCCCGTGACCCCAAGATGAACTCTCTGTGACCTCTGGCTTCCCTCATAGCACCTGCCCTGCTTACCCACTCCCCGCCATTGACCCCGGCCGTGCCACTCGCTCCCAGCCCGCAGCCCCACCATGGCCCTTCGACCAGCCAGGAAGCAACGGGGGCCGCAGGAGCACTGCATCCACCTCGCCTCAACTCGGGGCTTGGCCTGCAGTGACCCCAAATCTGACCTTGTGACCCCAAGTTGCACTCTCTGTGACCCCCGGTTTCCCCAAAAATTAGTTGGTGACCTTTCACATAATTACTGGGGGGATTTGACCTCTCGTGACCCCCAAATTGAACTCTCTGTGACCCCTGGCTTCCTCAAAAAATAAGTTGGTGACCTTTCACCTAATTACTGGGGGGATTTGACCTCTCGTGACCCCCAAATTGAACTCTCTGTGACCCCTGGCTTCCTCAAAAAATAAGTTGGTGACCTTTCACCTAATTACTGGGGGGATTTGACCTCTCGTGACCCCCAAATTGAACTCTCTGTGACCCCTGGCTTCCTCAAAAAATAAGTTGGTGACCTTTCACCTAATTACTGGGGGGATTTGACCTCTCGTGACCCCAAATTGAACTCTCTGTGACCCCTGGCTTCCTCAAAAAATAAGTTGGTGACCTTTCACCTAATTACTGGGGGGATTTGACCTCTCGTGACCCCAAATTGAACTCTCTGTGACCCCTGGCTTCCTCAAAAAATAAGTTGGTGACCTTTCACCTAATTACTGGGGGGATTTGACCTCTCGTGACCCCAAATTGAACTCTCTGTGACCCCTGGCTTCCTCAAAAAATAAGTTGGTGACCTTTCACCTAATTACTGGGGGGATTTGACCTCTCGTGACCCCAAGTTGAACTCTCTGTGACCCCAAGCTTGCCCAGAAAATAAGTTGGTGACCTTTCACCTAATTACTGGGGGGATTTGACCTCTCGTGACCCCAAGTTGAACTCTCTGTGACCCCAAGCTTGCCCAGAAAATAAGTTGGTGACCTTTCACCTAATTACTGGGGGGATTTGACCTCTCGTGACCCCAAATTGAACTCTCAGTGACCCCTGTCTTCCTCAAAAAATAAGTTGGTGACCTTTCACCTAATTACTGGGGGGATTTGACCTCTCGTGACCCCAAGTTGAACTCTCTGTGACCCCAAGCTTGCCCAGAAAATAAGTTGGTGACCTTTCACCTAATTACTGAGGGGATTTGACCTCTCGTGACCCCAAGTTGAACTCTCTGAGACCCCTTGGTTTGCCAAAAAATAAGTTGGGGACCTTTCACCTAATTACTGAGGGGATTTGACCTCTCGTGACCCCAAGTTGAACTCTCTGAGACCCCTTGGTTTGCCAAAAAATAAGTTGGGGACCTTTCACCTAATTACTGAGGGGATTTGAC